GGAGTGATTTGTTTACCTCCTCTGGGGAAAGTATCATTTCATGGTCATCTTTTTAGCCCCACCTCTAATACAACATCTGGCATTTAGTAGGGCTTTTTAAATGTTTGCTGTATAAATCAATCTTTGGTGTAATTCCTGCACTTTTGGGAGACCTCACTTTGAGGCAGAAAGAGTGGAGGGTCCAGTGGAGCATCTTCCATTCTTGCCTTTTCCATGTTTCGTGTTAAAAATCATTGTCTTCACATCATCATCTTCTTCATCATCCTTTGATACCTACCTTTTATTGAGTGTTTTGTGCCAGGCATTGTGCTAAGCACTTTACATACATATCTTATTTAATCTTCACAACATTACTGTCCTCATGGGTTGATGGGGAAACAGAAAGATTGTCTAAGGTTATACGGGTATTAAACAGTCAAATGTCAGAGCTGGGATTAGAACTTGATCAGACTGTTAATTAAACAAGGAGGCCATCAGACTCAAGGCAGCTCTAGTGTTGCTGCACCGACATAAGCAAACAAAAATCTAAGCCTATAAACATCTCAAGTTTAGGAAAGCGAAAGCTAAGTACAACCAATCACAGGCAACTAGGGTTTAGGCTATAGCCAACCAATAATTTCCTTTCTGCTTCCACTTTTTCCCTGTAAAAAAGATTTTTCCCAGCTCCCTTTGAGGGAGCACTTCTAACCACTTCCCCTTTGGAGCAAATAAATTCCTAAAATTTTAATATGCCTCAGTGTATCTTTTAATGGGACTCAGAGCCAGGTTTCTAAATACTGATGGTTAAAAGCACCTCTGCTCACCCTGGATCGTAAGAAAAAAGTTTGATGCTGTGAGGATTGAGATATGCCTTAAACAACTTAAGCTGGAACTAGCAATTTTTCATTTCATTTCATTCCATTTTTTGGCGTGCTGCACAGCTTGCGGGATCTCAGTTCCCCACCAGGGATTGAACCCAGGCCGTCACAGCAGTGAAAGCGCGGAGTTCTAACCACTAGGCACCAGGGAACTCCCTGGAACTAGCAATTAAGACCAAACCTATCAGACTGTTTCTACCTCCCTCTTTTTCCCAAATCCTTCCTGAACCTCATGCCACCTACCTGGGTCAGACCATCAAAGCTCAAGAAATGCCTGGCCTTGTATTTCTGCAGTTATATCAACCCCAAGTGCCTTCCAAATTTAAATCCTTTGACATCATTTGGCTTTAAATGCTTAAAACAAACTTATCAGAAAACTGTAGTGCCATAAATATTTATATAAACCAAAGCTCGCGCCAAAGCCAACTCATCATCTTCGGCTTTTGGGTTTTCAGATGTTGATCATGTACTTTGAGGAGGCTATTCAGGCATGAACCTGCAAGCTAATGGAGTTTCCACGTCCACACCAGTACTGCGGTGGTGGCTGGGGTCTTCCACATGTGTTCTTGGTGTATTTGTGTTAATGACTTATGAATCAGAAAGAATTATTTGCCATCTGATCCAAAACAAAGTCCTGAAATCTATCGGAAGGGTGATGTGATCTATGGCCCGAGGGCACACTGGCAGGGACAGGCAATAATTCTCTCTATTGGGAGGACTGGTGGGAGGAGACAGGATCTGTGGTTTCAACGCACAACAGCTCCTGCCCACAGCAGAAACATGCACAGAATGGATCCCTTAATCCCATTCTGTCTAGGAAGACATCTTAAAGCCCGCAATTCGTATTTAAAATGGAGAAGGGCATAGAAAGTATACCATGGAAATTAAGGGCACGGTAGAGTTCTACAAGAAGATTTTTGCTGAAGGTTAAGACGTGCTCGAAACATGTCTTCTGTGAAAACTCCAAAATAGATGTTTTTTCATGAATTCTTTTTAGGTATATACTATATGATCAGCTTCAGTTTCAGTGGAGAGGGGAAGCAAAAATGTGTAAACAAGTGGTCCTTGCCCTCAAAACTGAGCTTCTCAAACTGTCCTGTGCATGTGGATCCCCTAGGGATCTGGTTAAAATGCAGATTCTTGTTGAGTGGGGCGTGGCCTGGGATTCTGCATTTCTGACAAGCTCCCAGGGGATGTGGATGTTGCTGGCACACACTTGGTATTGATATTTACAAGGCAAAAACATTTACAAGGCAAGACAGTGTAAAATATCCTTTTGATCTTGCCATTATCTTTGAAGAACTCTGAAGGATCACATTCCTTTGGAAATTCATGGTACCCGGGGCTACCGCTATTTGTGTCCCTGCCTAAGGACACAGATGCATTGCTGCTGCTTTAAACTGGTGACCACCGCAGCTTCTCACCTGGCCAGACGTCTGCTGGAAAAGGCCTGACAGATGGAAAGCCAGACGAAAGGTGTGCTCCTAGGAAGTCAAAAGGCAATCCTTGGTGGCCAGAGTATCTGGACAAAAGATTTCAGGAGACACACTGCAAGGCTGGACAAAAGAAAGGATTTGTCAACCGGTGTCTATGTCCTTTCAGTGGACATTATCTTCTTTCTCACAGAGAAACCTTGATTTTCTTGAGGTTTTAAACCATGTTGAATACACTGCATCCCAGCACTTTGAGACCTATTTTGGGCAATTTATAAACATAATAGGCTTATGATGGTTTATGGAAATTTGCTCAGAGGAAAAAGCTCTAGGCAGAGCCTAAAGCTGGCACTTAAAATAGGCTAGTGGCACCATGAGAAAAAGCAAACAAAGATAAACCCAGACTTGAGCCCACCATGCCAAGTGAGGCATCTTCCTCACCCACAGCAGCACTCTGCCTGGTACTTTTGCAAGGGGGAAGCTTGGATTCTAAACAACAATAACCAGGAACATGTGTTCACCAGGATTGAGTTCTCCTTTAGTGTAATTTGTCATCAGAATTTCAGATTATAAAAAGATTGTAAAGTTTAAGAATGGAGATGGGTATGAACACATACCCAACTTGGAGCAGGATTTCTGATCTTGATAAACAAAGGGTCTTTCCTAACAGCGATTTACATTTCTGGACTAAGGGGCATGAGGTAATATTATTTTATAAGCTTAATGACTGCTCAGAGAATTAAAAAAAAAATAATGCTGACACTTGGAATCACTTCTGTCTCTTTAATGAAGCAAATATCAATAAGTAGAGTGCTATGGTTTTTACTTCAAATTACAATGCACTTGGGCATATTTATTTCTAAGATAGGAACCTTTACAGGGGAGTCTATTTCCCGAAGAACAGCCTGTGAATTCTGAGAAGAGTGGGGTAGGTGCTTGTTGATTCTCTTGATTCATGATCACCACTTAAATTTTGAACATTTGGTATATTTTAGACGGCAGGAAACAAGGGCAAGTCTAATTAACTGGCCCTAAATTAGTTTTTCTTATTGAAAGAAGATACTTTTACACCATCTGATTTTGTTGCCAATTAAAAAGGGCCAGCCCATCACAAACAGCTTTACAAGTTCATTAACCCTTTATGTGAAGAGTTTCAGCTTCCTAAGTGATTATTTACTTGTTGTTTTATTAGTGTTCTAGCTTCGAAAGAAAACATGAATTACATTTTGTGTTGAGGTCAAGTCAGTAGGGTCAATTCTTATCCTGTTTTCTCATTTTCCCACTGAAATAAAAAAAAAAAAACTTCAAAAGGAAAGCAAACTGAGCAGATTAGGAATGAAACAATCACATTTTAATCAATAAATATAAACATTTGTTTGTTAACAAGTTATGGGGCAGAGTAAAATAGTAATTATCAAGGATTCAAAAGGGGACACCACCTTGAAAACAGTGCAAATATCTTCACCATAAACCTTCCCCCATTTAGAGAATTAGAGGTAACAAAAGATTTACCCAGAATAAGGCTTGGGATAACCTAAAAAGTTCCAGGCAGATTTTAAAGCTAAAATAGATGATTTTGCACATAACAGGTAGTACAAAGATTATCTGACAACTCAATGAATAAATGATTGAATGGATGACTCACTGAACACAGGGAATAGGATTCCTTCTATTCACATTGTGAGCCAGGCCCATATCTATTTCTGTAACTCCCTTGCCTCACTCTCCCTTGCTATGCTCTGTATTGCAGGAAATCACACTTCCCAGGGCCCTTGCCAGATTGCTTCCAGGTAGGGCTGGAAGGGTAAAGTGTTAGAGGAAGACTAGAGGGCAGAAGGAGAGGTGAAGCCCGGGTATGTTGCCATGTCTGACTCATCTGGTGTTGCCCCATCTCGGGCAATGGCTTTGTTCCTGCCACGGCTCCATTCCCCACAACTCCTAGGTAGTTCCAGCTCCTACCAGACAGCCCCCAACCATGTTTCCAGCTCCTGTGTATGACCCCAGCTTCTGGACTCAGGGAACCACACCTCCTCATAGCCCTAGGTGGTAACAACCTCCTTTCATTTATCTTCTCTTTCATCATCTATGTATGTCAATTTCCTCTATTAAATTCCATCTACTGAAATACTTAGAATGGTTTCTGTTTTCCTGACTGGATCCTGACTACTACATATTAGAATCATTACATTTTTCCCCTCTAACATATCTGGGAATTTCTGCATGAGAATCTGCTGTAAGCCAATGAAAATAATCACTCAAACCACATTCAATACCCACTTTCTGCAATACAGGCAAATGAATATCCCTTTGGCTGTTTTTTGTCAAGCACTCTCTTTGCCAGGTACAAATATGACTCTGATGGTCTACCAAAGTCACCACCAATCACGGTGGACACAGCCAAAACTCATCTGCAGAGGTCATTTTTGTTGTATGTACTAAGTGTGACAACAAGGAAAAAGAAAGACAAACAAAATTAATCTTAAGAGAAAGTCACCAAATGGATAACAATGTTAAAAAAAAAAAATGTCTCTGAAAATTCAGAGACGATAAGACAGCACCAGAAAGTTTCCTGTTGAATCAATTTTCCTGAAGTTAAAATCTTTTAGAATTTCTGGATCTTTCAAGAGCATCAAAAAAAAAAAAAAATTCTGATTCATCAACAAATGATCCGTAGCTTCTCAGCTAGAATGCGCCCCTGGAATGGTTATCTTCAGAAGTAGAGTTCCTTGGTGAGCATGGAGACCACACATGGGATCTGCTTCTTCTCATGGAAGCATGGGTCATCAGACTTAGATTCAAAGTGCCTGGCCACCCTGGCATTCACCCTGGTGAGAATCTGCAAGATCTCCAGGCTCTTCCCGTGCTCGTTCAGGATGGAGCAGAGGGCCTGCACAAACCAGGAGCCACTCCCTGGGTTCCTCCATGAGTAATAGCCTTCAATGGGAGAGAAAGGAGATGAAATCAGCTGACCTGGCCACCGCTCCGCTCACCACCCAGTAGGAGCTGTCGGTGTTTGGGGCCTTCACACGTGCTTTTCTGAAGTGACAGTACCCCCCGCCTATCCGTGCAGGGTACGTGTCCTACAGGTAACCACTCTAAAACACAAATCTCATCCTGCCCCTCTCCTACCTAACACAGTTCCCTCTCACCCCTATATTAGGGTGAAGTTCAGGCTGCTTAGCACAGCCTGCAGGGCCCACGACAACGTGGCCCCCTGCCTACCTGTCCAGGTTTGAACTTTGCTAATGCCTGGTCACACCCTGTGCTATGGCCTCTCGCCCCTCTCTGTGCCACAGGAGTGAAAAGGCAGTGGTCTACAAGCCAGGGTGAGAGCTCTCATCAGAAGCCACAATGCCCAGCACCTTGATCTCAACCTCCAGAACTGTGAGAAATGAATTTCTGCCCCCCAGTCTGTGGTCTTATGTTAGCGCAGCCGGAGCAGACTGACAGCCCCTGTGGTCCAGCCTTTTGAGTTTTACCAATGCACTGAGCCACCTGCCCCTGGGCGCTCTGTCTGGTGAGCCCTCTCTCCCTTCCTCCTGCTGTTTGGTTTTTGAAGACCCAGTTACAGCAGCTCTTTTTTCCAGAAGCTTCTCTCACCTGCCTCCCTAGAGCTCACCCTCCTTCCTTTAGTTCTGCTAGACCTGGCTCAGAGCACCTCCAACCTAAGTAACAGGTTGGTTCACACAGACACATGCTGCCGTGACTCCGTCTCCCTCTCACGGACAGGAGACCAGATTTCTTTCTTCCACGCACAATCCTTAAAACTTGTGACGTTATCATTCTCACAAAACACCATCTGTAGATCCCGCCAGATCTGGTTTTCCGAACACAATGGCCTATTTACTGTAACCAGTACCTCTGTATCAAGCACTTGACAAACTGCTACTACAGTTGGGAGAATTCTAACTTAGTGATGGTTTTTACCCCAAACAAAGGAACTTCACTGAACTCACTCAGGCAGACCCGGAGCTTGGTTAATCCTAAGGTGGCTTGCTTGCTACAGGCATTTCTGGTGTCTCTTAACAGGCTGCCATATAAAAGAATCCTGGTCTGAGCTCTAACTCTAATACATACCAAAATCTCTATATGACCTTGGGCAGGTCACCTAAACTCACCCAAGCTCAATTGTTTCTTCTATCTGTAAAATTAGGACAGATGTAACACCTTTCCTAACTACCTACGCAATTATTTCAGGGATGATTGAGGTAAAAGACATGAACAACACCCGGTAAATTGTAAGGTGCCATAGAAATGTTTGTTCTTCTAATTCCCAACAATGATAATAATAATCATAAATGAGAGAATTCAGCCTTCTTTGGAGAGAAAAGTGACTACGTCCCTGTGGTAGGCAGAATAATGGCCCCCGTGCCCAGGGATGTTCATGCCCTAACTCCAGGGCCTGTGAATATGTTACCGGACATGGCAAAAAAGAGCTTCGCAGATGTGATTGAGGTTAAGGAAACAGGATGGGGAAATTATTCTGGATTATCCAGATGGGACTAATCTAATCACAAGAGTCCTTAAAAGAGGGGAACCCTTCCCAGCTGTGGTCAGAAAGAGCAGTGTAAGGGTGGAGGGAGGGTCAGAGATGGGAGGTTGCTGGTTTTGAAGCTGGAGGAAGGAGGCCACGGGCCAAGGAATGCAGGTGGTTCTAACATGCCGGAAAAGCAAGGACGTGGATTTTCCTCTCTACAGTCTCCAGAAGGAACTGTAGCCCTGCCAACCCATTTTGGAATTCCGTCCTCTGGAACTGTAAGGTAATACATTTGTGTGTGTTAAGCCACTATGTTTGTGGCAATTTATTGCTACAGCAGTAAGAAAGTGACATAGCTGCAAGCCTTCATTTCGATGGTGGGATGGAGGGCATGGTCTGGTTAGCAGACAATGGACGTGATACCTGGAACTGTGGAATAGGCGAAGAGAAAGTCGGCTTCTACTGGGATCTTAAATCGGGGATTAGCATCTGTGTCATTGATAGGCCCCGAGTCAGCCTGGATCCCATCATCAAGCTCTGTCCCCCGGCAAGCCTAAATATCAAAGCAGAGATCACTCCGTGAAGTTGGGAACAGAAACATGTGTGCTGTTCACTGCTGTGTCCCAGTGTTGTCTACGCTTGGCACGTACTAGCAATGCAACAATCTTCAAGACGATTTGATAATGTGTCAAATCAGTAAGCAGAGCAAATAAAAATATTGCAATGTCTTAAACTCTCATAATTTGTGATCCAATGCAATCTAAATGCAGATGGCAAGGATTTAGAGGTAGAAAAATACAACCCAAATTTGCATACCCCAATAGAAATAGCATGTAGATTTGTAAAAAAATGATACAATCCAAGTCATTGTGTAAATCTTTTCCCATTTCTATGGACTTTGGAAAGGCATTACCTGAATGAAGAAAAGTTTGGGTTTCTCTAACAGGGTTTTGCATCGATCCCCCCTAAAATGGGCTGTCAAGTCCTTTATTGCTGTCTTGCCATCTGTTCCATAAATTAAATTTTCTTCTCCGTGGCTTAATAAGATGCAGGCAAAGCAGGCTGAATTTCTGTGGTCCTCTTCAGAAGCTGCAAGCGATTTAAACATTGAAAAGTTAAAACCTATGTCCTGTGGGAACCTCAGAGGTAGTATTCCCTTCCAACCTGGCAGCTGTTACTGACAGAGAGGGATGGGCAGATAGTGGAGAAGCGCCCCTGGACGACACTGGAGAGAAGTTAGAGAGGGGGAGAATTCTAGAATTCTCACTCAGTCTGAAACCAGAACGGGGCTGCCTCATGAGGAAGAGAACCCCAAGGGTAGGAGGGCTTCAGGCAGCAGCTGGGAGACAGCATATGGGGGTGCTGAAGGGTGTGGCCTTTGTTAGGTCTGTGACACTGGGTGAGTTACTTAACCATTTTGTGCCTTGGTTTCCTTGTCTGTAAAATGGAGACAACAGTACCCATTAAATGAGTTGATATTTGTAAAGCAGACCACAAGAGTATTGGGCAAGTATTTGTTAAAGAAAATAAAACACACTAAGTGAAAGAAGCCACTTACTAAAGGAAAAATACTCTACGATTCCATGTATATGAGGCTCCTAGAGTAATCGGGTTCACAGAGGCAGAAAACAGAATGGTGGTTGCCAGGGGTTGCGGGGATGGGGAAATGCGGTGTTAGTGTGTAATGGGGACAGAGTTTCAGTTATGCAAGATGAAAAGAGTTCTTCTGGAGACGGGTGGTGATGGCTGCCGAACAATGTGAATGTACTCACTGCCACTGAACTGTACACTTAAAAGTCGTTAAGATGGTAACTTTTATGTTATGTGTAGTTTACCACAATTTAAAAAGTAAAAAATAAGATTACAAAAAAAAAGAAAGAAAGAAAGAAAGAAAATGCTAGGTTGGCTGTCAATTTAGGATACTGAGGAGAGGAACCATAAATTATGTAATGGGTTGGCTCAGCTTGATTTCATCTAAGGTTCTGCGGTTCTAACTAACTAGCTAGCTAACTAATTACTATAACCTATCCTTTCTTCTTCTCTTCATCAATGATGAGGGAAAAAGAAGATTTAGAATTTCTTAATTCCCCAGTGGCCCAATGGTTAGGACTCCACTCTCTCACTGCCGAGGGCCCGGGTTCGATCCCTGGTTGGGGAGTTAAAATCCCACAAGCTGTGCGGTGTGGCCAAAAAAAAAAAAAAAAAAGAAGTGAAGAACTTCTTGAGCACCTACTGCGGGCAGACAGTGATCTAGGTACTTTGCCAGAGTCATCTTATTTAATCCCTACAAGGGCCGCTTGAAGTAGGCCTCGTTTATCTTTATTTCACTGATAAAAAAATGGAATCTCGGAGAGGTCCTAGAACTTTGTCCTGTCAAGAAAAATCACCATGTTGCTACTTTGACAGGACAATAAATGAGAATTCTGTGGTCCTGACATGCCCTGGACACGGGTGGAATAACTCCCTTTTCATAAGGACAGAAACTACAACTGGGACAAGTCCTTACATCTGTAGAGGCCATTACCCTTCTCAAATCACATTCACAAACTTTCCCTCAGCTAATGCTGACTGTGGCCCCAAGAAGCAGGAGGAGATGGTATCATCATCCGCATTTCAGGAAAGTAAAACACCAAGAAGGCCCAGGTGCCCCGCCTAGCTCGCCCAGCTGCTAGAACTTGGACTAGACCCCAAATTCGTACTCTTGACTTCCAGTCTGCTCTGCCATGTGGCCTACTAGGGTACAGAAGGTGGGCTCTTAAGATTCCTGTTTGAAGAAATAAGGAAAAGATGCCTAGTTTTTAAAAATATAAGAGAGGGTACTTAAGAGAGAGTGTTATGGGGGGGAGGTGTCTTTTTTTTTGTTTAGCTGCACAGCTAAGAAAAGCAGCACTGATTGGAATTGTGTGCCTACCCTCTGCCCATGGGTTACCATCTAATGAGTTGGGAGGGCATTACTTTCAATCATTTGCCCTAAATGCGAGAATATCCTAGGTGGCTTCCACTAGATGGTGTGGGGTAATAGAAAATGTAATTGTTCTGGAATCGAAAGACCAAGGCTTGAGGTTTGGTTCTGCCCCTACTAACTATGCCTTCAGTATGGCCTTTATCCTCTCTTAAGCTCTGTCCCTATATTCATGAAACGGGCATGATAATATTGTTGGCCAACACGCAGGGGTTGTGTTAAAGATCTAAAGAAACTATTTTGTGAACATGGAATTGGCGTTTTGAAATTGAGACCATTCTGTAGATACAGAACCTATTTCTCTTGCTGTGATGTAAGCTGCTTTCACCTTTTTAGGGGGAGATCTAAGTTTCCAGAGAGACAGGTGCCCCAGAGACAGGTATGGTGTCACCCAGAGGAAGGAAGGGCTTCCCACGCTGAGACATTTCCCTCCTGCATGTGAAGGTGTCTTCCCCAGACCAAGTGGGGAGAAGGAAGAAGACTGAAGGAGGAAGGGCAGGAGTTCACCTTTTTTCAGCAGATCTTGCATCCTGGCACAGGAGCAGTCATTATAGACGGTCACATCAAAACCCAGGCTTCGGAAGCACTTGAAAAGAGCCTCAGCATCTTTGTCTGTTCCGTTGCGGACACCCATTCCTGTGGGAATCAAGCACCGAGTCCACGATGAGTGCCACGTGCTGGCACCATCAGGCCAGGTGCTCCGGTGTAAATGCTGCCAAGGTCACAATTTAGATGAGCGACTGAAATTAAGAAGCAAACTCAAAGGAGAGGGTAACTCAGCCCACCCACAAAAGGTGAGCCTCGTCATGGCGACTCTCAGGCCCAGTCAGCCCAAACAGCCCGCCTTGATCCTCAGCCAAATCCCACATGTGGTCCAAATATTACATCCGCTAATGCACATGATGGGACTCTCAGACTGAAAGTTCCCAGCTTCCCCGCATCCCTCTCTCCTGGACACTCGAGCACCACCTGCGGAGGGGCTGTCTGCCACAGGAGGTGGGTGCAGTGTCTCCCTGATGAACATCTGATACAAGTCTGAATGCAAGCTGAAGAAACTGGAAGGGAACAGGAGAGGCTAGCCCATGCCCACAGTACCCACCTGTCACTCTGTCGAAGTTCTTGTTGTTTATGATGATGCATTTGCCCACCTTCTCAAAATTCATGTTATACTGATACGTAGGCACTCGGTCCCGAGGGTTCTTGGCCGATTTCCCTGAGTCATTTTTCTTCTTCTTACTGGGGAAATACAAAGCCAGTCAGGGGCTGTGGAAGATGTCTGGACAGGAATGACCTCTTGTTTTTACTACTAGCATCAAAGGGGTGCCCAAGAATGCTGCAATGTCTGTGAAAAAGAAAAAGAGCTGGGGTGGACAGTTGGTTCTGTTTAACTGTCATGTTTAAAATGAACAAGATCTCCTGCTTAATTTCATTAGATGCTACAGAAATGCAAACTGAAATCATAATGCGATACCAGTACATTCCTCAGAATGGCTTCATTGTCTTGGTGACCACGTTAGGCACCTGGAATTATCATACGTTACTGGGGGAGCCCCCTTTGTACATCCCTCTGTGGAAAACCGGCAGAACCTACTAAAACTGAACTTAAACATATCCTGTGACAGAGCTATTCCACTCCTGGGTATATAGCTCAAAGGAGAGCAGACGTTTACCTAACGACAGAGCCACACATGTGCACAGCAGTACTATTTAGACAGCCCCAAACAGGAAATAATCCAAATGTCCATTTACAGTAGAATGGATAAATTGTGGAATATTCAAGCAATGCAATACTATAGCAAGTCAGATGATCTTTTTGGTTTCCCAGTGCATATAAAAGTTATGTTTAAACCATACAGTAGTCTATTAAGTGTGTAATATGTCTAAGAAAACAATGTAGGTATATCTTTATTAAAAAATACGTCATTGCTAAAAAATGCTAACCATCATCTGACAACACAAGGTTGCCACAAGCCTTCAATCTGTAAAAAAACACATTATCTGTGATGCACAGTGAAGTGAGCACAATAAAATATATGCCTACAATAATGAGCGTGAACAAACCATGACAACACAGAGCCACTGGATGCATCTTAGACAGGTAACGCTGAGTGAAAGAACCCATACACAAAAGGGTACATAAGTGTGTGCACTTCTCTATGTAGATGTTATAATTTAATTAACATTTACATTAAAAGGGGAAAAAAGGAACAGCAACTTAAACAAGAAAGTAGGCCCCTTCCGATCTCCAGACACTGACCGTCCAGTTTTCTAAGAGTCAGGCACACAGGCACTGAGCCTGGAATCTGGGGCACCGTTGACAGGTTAGAGGGAAAAAATGACAAATGTCAGTGGGGAGCTGCACTGCTAGGCGACCGTCTGAATGTAAGCTCCATGAGAGAAGAGATTTTTTAATCTCTTTTGAAAAATTGCAGAATCCCCAACACCTAGAACAACGCCTGGCATATGAGTTGCTCAATAAATCTTTGTTATAAACTACAGACCAATAGCCCTAATAAAGACAGATGCAAAAAATCCTTGATGGAATATCAGCAAGCCAATCTAGCAATCTATAAATAGGGTAAATACACCATGACCAAGTGTGATCGATCCCAGGAACACAAGGTTGGTTTAACATCCAAAAATCAACCAATGTAATCCATTGTATGAATAGAATAAAGGACAAAAACCACATGATCAACTCAATTGGTGCAAAAAAAGCATTTGACAAAATCCAACACCCTGCTATGATAAAAATGCTCACTAAACTAGGATTACAATGGAACTAACTCAGCCTGCAAAGGGCATCTATGAAAAACCCACTGCTAATATCATACTTGATGAAATAAAATTTATATTTTAAGGTGGAACAAGAAAAAATTAAACATAAAATTATCTGTGTTTGTTTGGGCCTCCTGCCTCCGTCCCTAATGTGCAGTTTACCTCTGCGCTCCATGTTAACCAGAACTCCTCAAAGACAGGAGTGCCCGCTCAACTGTAAAGATCAATATTTCTTCTTTCTTTGGATACTAGCAATGTAACTTCTTAAAATAGCATTCGTTCCCAGTTCTGTAGCGGGTCATGGGTGACTTGCTGCTGGCTTTGTATATGCTTATCTGGACTCTGTAACTTTGGTGAACTTTACGTGAAACATCACTAAGTCATTGTGATGGACGATCCTATGTCTCGAAAATGAATATGACTGTGCCTTTGACTTCTAACAGGTGGAACAGTTCTCAGAGCTTTCTGAGAATATGCTTCCCGGGTTATAACCCTCGGTTTGGCTCCAATAAAATTCCCATTTTCTTCTTGACTTGATAGTTAATTGAATTTTCATCGACATACTTAATGATGAAAGGCTGAATGCTTCCTGCCCTAAGATCAGGAACAAGTCAAATATGTTCACTCTTGCCGCTTCTACTAAATACTGTATGAGAGGTTTTAGTCGGGCAATGAAGTTAAAAACTGTCATATGAATGAATGAATCAGGTTTTATTTACTCATTTTGCAGACATGGAAACTGGGGTCCACAGAGAGGCAGGGGGTTGTCCAAGGTCACCCAGCTAGTGATTGGCAAGGTGGGACCATCACCCAGGCCTCCTCCTTCATGTCAGCGTTCCAGAGCCTTATGCTCTTGAGTATCTGTTAGAATGATTTGTCCACCATCCTCCCAAAGCTCCATCAAAAGTTGGAAGAAGTAAAATGAAGGTGAAAACTGAGCTTGTTCCCTGATGAATGTGGGTCCAAGGGTATTTCATTCTGAGTTTTCATTGAATGTTACCTGAGTTTCTCAGAATCTCTGAAAGGATGTGGTCTTTCCCCTTTCTCCTCCTACTTTGGTCCAGATTACAGGTTAGCTATGTTAAGTCGAAACTTCAGATTCCATATTGCTGTTTTCAACCTGAACATGACTTTATCCTCCACTTTTATAAGGCCAAATTTCTTCCGTCGTATCATTTTATTTCTAAAAGAGAAATGCCCTCAGTCTGGTCTCCTACCTTCTAAAGTCTCCCCTCTCAAAACATAGGCGGAACACTCTATGACATGAATCACAGCAAGATCCTTTTTGACCCACCTCCTAGAGAAATGGAAATAAAAACAAAAATGAACAAATGGGACCTAATGAACCTTCAAAGCTTTTGCACAGCAAAGGAAACCATAAACAAGACCAAAAGACAACCCTCAGAATGGGAGAAAATATTTGCAAATGAAGCAACTGGCAAAGGATTCATCTCCAAAATTTACAAGCAGCTCATGCAGCTCAATAACAAAAAAATAAACAACCCAATCCAAAAATGGGCAGAAGACCTAAATAGACATTTCTCCAAAGAAGATATACAGATTGCCAAAAAACACATGAAAGAATGCTCAACCTCATTAATCATTAGAGAAATGCAAATCAAAACTACAATGAGGTATCATCTCACACCAGTCAGAATAGCCATCATCAAAAAATCTAGAAACAATAAATGCTGGAGAGGGTGTGGAGAAAAGGGAGCCCTCTTGCACTGTTGGTGGGAAGGTAAATTGATACAGCCACTATGGAGAACAGTATGGAAGTTCCTTAAAAAACTACAAATAGAATTACCATACGACCCAGCAATCCTACTACTCGGCATATACCCTGAGAAAACCATAATTCAAAAAGAGTCATGTACCACAATGTTCATTGCAGCTCTATTTACAATAGCCAGGACATGGAAGCAACCTAAGTGTCCATCATCGGATGAATGGATAAAGAAGATATGGCACAAATATACAATGGAATATTACTCAGCCATACAAAGAAACGATATTGAGTTATTTGTAGTGAGGTGGATGGACTTAGAGTCTGTCATACAGAGTGAAGTAAGTCAGAAAGATGTCGGTCTTCAACTGACATCTCTGAGGTAGGTGGAGGGGGCATAATCACACCCATTTTATAGGTAATAATAACAACAATTAGCGTTTGTCAGGGCTTATTATGGGCTGGGATCTTGATAAAATTCTCACCTGCATTTTCTCATTGGCTCCTGAGAGGACTTTAGCAAATTTAAGCCCACTCGAAGACCCTAACAAGAGGAGCATTACGTCTGGCAGGCTGGAGGTCAAGTTTATGCCCTTTATGAGAGAAAATTTCACTTCTGACTTCTGCAATACAGATTATTTGAAAACAAACTGTACAATGATATCCAAGTTATAAACAAGCTGTGATTTTTTTAGGCTGCCATAAGCCAAACTACACCAGTGAGCATTTTTTATAAGAAAAACAGGCTCAGATATAAGTTACACGAAAAAGAAAAGAACTCTGTTTCTATCAGAATAGAATTTGGAAAACTAACTGCTTAAAAAAAAGGAACACAAAAGTGTGTATAAAAAGATATACACACTTTAAAGAAAACACTTTCCATGGTTATAAAAAGTACCTTAAAAATGAATATGAAATGTGATTCTTATGTGATTCCCCAGTAAATATCTCAAGGGAGATAAGGACAATTTCCCTTTCTTATCCTTCCCCTAAACTGAATTCTCATTTTTCAAAATGAATTTAATATCTGCTGCTTCTTTCTGGATTTGAGTCAGTTCATATTAATTTTTCCTTCTAACTCAAATAGCTTTTTGTTAAACCCAGGTCTTCCCACACCGAAGATGTGTATCAGAGAGTGATTATCAACTTGATCCCATTGAGCTCATCTTCCTAAGAGGCACTGGCTTTGGGAAAACTCCATCTGTAGCTTAAGTCGGGGGAAGCAAACCCTGATGATTAGCTTAAAGCATGTAACGAGAGACAAATAAGAGGAAGAAATGATTGTCGAGAAGTCACCAGGGGAAAGGAGCCAGGAAGAAACCAGGTGGACTAAAGTCTATTGCCTATGCATAGATTCCGCAAGTAAAAGAGTCCAAGAGACTAGAGTCTACCACCGACTAGTTATGAGGCTTTGGGGCCCCTCCTCCTGGGGATTATCTATCTCCCTTTCACCCCATTTTCCCTCTTGGGGGAGCAGTGCCATCTCTTCCACTTGGTCAGCTGCTGTTGCCAGGCTGCTGCAGAGACATGAATTAAGTACAGCCTCACATATAGGAAGGGGGCTGATTCCTGAGAGGGGCGTACGTTAGGGAGCCCCAGTAGCTGATTCCACAGGAACACAGGGCCATCGCTTTGCTTGAGTCTTTCTTTTGTGTGTGACACCCAATACTATTTGGAAACACTTTTGGACTGACAAGTTCTCTTCCATTTTTTCCCCCTGGGGTTCCCATGT